TATATATATATATATATTTATATATGCGACATTGTTAGAACAATTATTTACATAACGCTGTAATAAGCTATGACTAGATATATGTATATATATTATATATATATTGACGCGTTAGGATATAATTTCTGGAAATTTGAATAACGATGGAAAGAGACATAGGTTGGAGAGATCCCGGATTCGCATGCTTTTTTTGCACTTAAACTTTGTTCAACGGCTGATTGCTGCGAAAGCGGTATGGGAAAAATAGCGTGGCTATTACAGCGGCAGCCGATGTAATTGTATTCGTTGTATGTCTACTTTCTTTATGCTGTATACAGTTCTTTTATTTTTTTAAATATGTCTTACGTTATATAATAGTATGTTTGTTACAATTATGATACTTTCGAAGCTGCCATCGACCGCGGCTGCGTCTGCCATTGCAAAGAAGAGAGCGGGATTGAAATGCGAAGCGAGACATTGAGGAGATCCCGGAAAGGAGAAACTGATTGAAAAATGACTTGTCGTACAACAGGGGACGGGGAAGGGTTCTCTCCTTCGCGATTTAACAGGTACAAACGTATTCAAACGTATATACGCGACGAAGACTGGGATAATACTGCAAGTAGAGGAGAGACGGCCGTATAAACTTAATTAATCAGGTAATGTATATATGTATATATACGGTAATATGTATATAATCTAAGTACATAATGTGATATAAAATCTACGTATTATATTCCGGTAGATCAACAACACGATTACGTCTGATTTCCGCTACGCCCGACGCCCTTCAGTACTACCTTCATTATTTTGCGTTAACGTTATCGATAAACGCTGCTTCACGTTCTCCTGCATTTGTGCAAGCATTCTGCTGTATTTTGTACAAGTGTACTCGATGTATTATAGATGAGATAGATATATCGTCGTCGGCCTCCCCGTGCGATCCTCTGGGAACTGCTGGAGGTGATGGGAACATCGTAAAAGGACGGGCAATTCACGGAATTATAATATTTATAATTATGAGAGAGAACGTCTAAAAAGGTACATTATTGACTTCGATTACACTATTAAGGGCACCCTCGAATTGATCGACGTTCGGACAGCGTCCCGAGAAATGGGAGACGAGGGACGCGCGCGTTTCCTATTCCCCCAACCCTCTAGATCACCCCGCGAACCCTGCTAATTACTACTAATAATTGCCACAGGTGAATTGACTCTAAACGACACCGGTTCCCCGAGCGATCGTCGACGTTTCGGCCGACGGTTTCGGGCTGTACGGTAAAAAAAAGTCGACGGAAATTAGACGGGTAGACCCCCTAATAAACTCTAATTGTAAGTTTTTAACGTTCCATTCGTTGATGCTCGAAGTGCGGACCTGCGGGGTCCTTGCGCTCTCCTCGTCAGGGGCGGCTACGACGTCGAGTTTTTACTTTCTAAAGATTTTCCCAGGATGGATTGAACCTTCAACAGAATTGTCACAAACTCCTTATCCTAAAATTCCGTAATTTTTCTCTGATTTCCAGACAAAATGTCATGATTTTCTCTGATGCCTTCAATAATATTTTGAATTTTTTTTGTATTTTCATTCTGATTTGGAAATCGTCAAATATTTTATTGCAATTTAAAGCAATTACTATTAATGTTGCTGACACTACTTGTATTTAATTATTAAGTTGGCAGTAAAAATATAGTATACAGTTTTTCAAAATTGTATACGCATATTAAACTTTTTTACAAAAATTTTAATTTTCCAGATTTTTCCCCGATTTCCTTGACATTTCTTTGATTTCCTTAATTTCCAGTTTTGTGACAACCCTGTCCAATGAATGCGTTTCCGCTAATCGTTGTCGCTAGCCGCTCGTAAAGCCTTCGACCTGCGGGCTCTCGGAGGCTGAAGAAATCCCTAATAATGTGTGCCCCTAACGATTCTTCCCTCGCTTCTTCGTACGCGCGAACGAAATCGTTCGCCAGGTTCGATGCGTCCTCCTCAAATTATGCGATCGACACCGCGGTACAGAGCCCACGAAATCGACGGCGAGACTGGTCCGCTTTTAATGAAGATCTAAGGCGCCTTTTTACTCGGTCGGCGCGGCGCTTCCTAAATTCTGGAAGCCGTGCGTCGATGCGTCCGATGCTGAGACATTCACTTTCGGCTACACTTTCATCTTCGCCTCGGTCGCAGAATATACTTAGAGCCTCGAGATATATTTCGGTCCCTTCGCCATCGGCATCGAACGCATCGCAACGCGAATATATATATATAATAATAATATTCATATGCATAAATCGCTCTAACGCGCTAACAATAACGGACAAACGTAGTGAACAAACACGTTGAACGGTCAATAGTCATTACGCGATCTAAGCCTCTCTTCGCGTTATATTATATATATATATATATTATACGTACGCTAAATTTATATAATTACACTAAAGCGTCTGCGCGATCCTTGCGTACTCGCGATCATCTGATTAAGGAAACAGCCGATTTATTAAAGGTGCAGCCCAACGAGCTGTATCGACAGAATGCTCGCAGGATTCTTAAATATAATTCTAGTAACAATTTATTGGATACATTCGTTAAATGTTGGGGATATATTGGACCAATACTGGGTCAATATTGTACCGATAATTGTGTACTAGGCAAATATATATGAAATAATTTTCTTTTTTAGAAACATTAACTATCCATTCGTATTAACCCAAGTTATTCGTCAAGTAATTTGAATGCAATTTGAATTCGAATATCTTTTAGGCAATATTTTTATCTTTAATATCTCCACCGTACGCGCGCGTGGGCAGTCCGATAATTCAGTGACTTTTTAAAAGGAGACTATATTAAAAAAAGAAATCGAATTTTGATAAAAAAAAGTAAAAATGAAATCACTGATTTATCAAATTGCCTTCGTATATTTAACGTTGTTGAAATTTTAATTTATATTATTGTGATTTTTTATTGGTTTCCGGCCAATCACAACGAATTTAGAATACAAGGAATGCGAAAGGAGTCAATTTTTTTCTTAATTTCGACGCCCGTCTCTTGCGACTCCTGCGGGAATTCCGTCACGCGATTCCGCAGCTCGTCATCGATATCGTCGAATTCCGTCGCGCTCGAAAGATCAAAGGATCCCGGAAGCGGAGGTACGCTGATTACACTGTAGGTGGATGTTTCTCTTGTGCCCGTCCACCCATTTACAAGTGACCCCTTCGCGAATCAGTCTCAAGGAACGCGCAGTATAATAGTGCTGGTTGTAGATACTTTCATCGGATAAGGCTGCGTTAATTATTGTCACTTTCAGCGCTCATTCGCCCTCGTGGAGAACCAATTCTCTCGCACCCTCCCCCTTTCTTCCTCCGTCTCTTTTGGTCACGAATAAAATTTCGCTTGCTCCATCGTTCTCGCGAAGTTTCCGCATATCGTCGATGTCAAAGAATTCGAATTAAGTCTCGGTCACTTGGGAATAATACGCTCGATTTATTCGCGTTGCGCTTCAAAACATTATCTTCCTCTTTCTTTTTTGTTTGCTTCTTTTTTTGGAAAAAAGTGATTTTACGTTTACACTCGCGCTAACGCGGGATCTCCTTTGATCTCGCGAAGTCTCGTTTCTTCCGATCACTTGAATGGCGACAAAAGCACATTTCAATTAAACAAGAATTAAACCATAACTGACTTGTACAGCTAATATTACATTTGTTCCTTTTTTTGTCGTACGACTATTTCAAGCGTGTTAATTGGCTACAGGATAGAGAGATTCTCAGATCTCTCTATTCTATAGACAATCAACCAAAATTTGACACATGTGTCATATGACAAAATATAATATTAGCCTACAACCTGTATACATCGATATACAGATATATCCCAATCTCTCGCATCTTGAAAAACGCGCGAAGATATTTTCTCTTATCTCATATTTTACGCAGTACGTCGCGCTCCGTGATAGAAAATATATTTTAAAAATATACGAGTAGGTGTTATATTCCGAAATCACGTCGGATAATAGGATAAGGATCGCGCTTAACGTTGCGACGACAGTCACAGAGAGAGTCTCTCGCCCGCTTTTGTCGATTATTTCATGTTCGTAACAATTCCACAATGATATCGACTTTCGACAATTCGCACAGTACCGTTAACAGTCTTAACATTTAGCCGCAGATATGACGCTTCTAAGATCTATTCTAACAAGCCGTACTTCTATTGGATTCTTTCTAATATTTAGGATATAAAACGATTAATTGTCAAGACGCATTTCCCTTCCATGGTACTCAGGCATTTGCGCGATATGGATGATATAAAACGTATCACATTTTCTTTTCTATATCAATTCGGACAAGTCTCGCGCGACGTACAATGAGGTCTGTGGCTAAGAGTTAAGATTGGAGAAGTTTGGAACTTTGCGACGGTCGATTTAATGCCGATTTTCTGATTTTAGCAAACAACTGCCGATACTGTCAATACGTCATCTAATAATAATTACAACTTAATAGCCGTATTGCCTGTCCGAAAACTTAGTTGCTTGGAAAAATTCATGTTTCCCATTTACTTTCAGTCAATTGTAAGAAATCGGGACTCGTTAGTCGAACGGAAGCAAGCAAAATACTTTTTTTTGTCGCTTTCAATAGCACCAATGGAATACAATGCCTGTGTACTCACGCGCGAGCACATATTGTCTAGATTCTCTACAACAGCCTAAAAAGAAAAAAAAGCTCAACGACATAAGCCGTTTGCTCTTATCTAAAATCTCGAACGGTCGCTTCAACAATTTCGCAGCAAGCTAAAAGTGCTTCTTTTCGACATGCAGCTACCTTCTAAGCTTATCTGTCTCTCGCTGTCTTCGTTATCAAGTAGGAAGAAGGGGAAAGGGACGTTCGAACGAGGTCGCTGAGCGTTTACGATGATCTACGACCGTGCGTGCGTCATCGTTCGCGGACCAATCGGCCGGAACGATTTTTGCTCCGGACGATCATTCCACGTTTGAGCAAAGCAAAGGTCGGAAACGAACGAGGCGTCTTTGCATTAGAACTTGCTAGCGCATACTGGCGGATTCATCTCGCCGAAGACGTTGAGCTCGTAGAGCGACGCGAACACGATAAATATTAAGTACCAGACCATCAGAACCACGCCGTATCGTCGGTCCAACTTCCAGCCATTGAAGTGCGTTGCCAGCACCAGGAATAACACCGTCGACAGTAGAGAAAGGGTGGAATATGTCAAACCTGATAAGAACGAGATATATAAGCGATATAGAATACAAATATGTACGAGTATGTTTTGCAGAGATAAAGAGATTAAAAAATATATAGATAAATCCGTGTACCTCTGCTGGTAACATTAACGTGCGAGCCGGGCTGTATCATAGCGGTCTGTATGAACCACGGAAGACCGAGGCATACCAGGATGTCGAAAACATTGCTACCTACGGCGTTACTAACCGCCATGTCACCAAGACCCTCTTTAATGACCGCCAATGAGGAAAGGGCATCCGGCACACTCACACCAGCGGCAACGAAAGTCAACCCCATCACGGTGTCAGGAATGCCCAGAGTACTGCCTGCAAAATCAACCACTTTACTAAGATAATTCTATTTGTTGAAAGATGATTCAATCACGAATCAAATGATAGTGTTACCTATAATCGTGATCATCCACACCATTATGTAGCTATAGAAACTGATCCAGATCATCGATATACAAAACGTGAAGGGATACCAGCTCCGCCACTTTTCTTGCCGGCAATCTGGCATTGTCGCCCGGCACATGAAGTGGATGGGATACACGAGGCCCCAAGTGAACAAGGTCCACTTGCTACCGTCCGTCGGCATCACGAGGGGCGATACTTCGTTAGGATCAGGCTCTTTTGCTTTGTAATACTCAGGCTGCCTCGGTGCCGGCGGGTGCTGTTGCTGCTGCTGCTGTTGTTGCTGTTGTTGCTGCTGTTGCTCAATCGTTTCTTGAATGCCATTTCCTGAAAGAAGATAAAGGATACATTCAGATCTCTAGAGAATATACGGAAGATATGAATAAGCAAGATTTTTATTCAATTACCTTCTTGATTCTTCATTTGTTCGGTGACCGGCGAGTTAGGACCAGTGTAGGATAATCGATCCTCCTGTAAGGATCTGTAGCTCACTAGAGCGCTTTCCTCAGCGGGTTCATCGTCCTTCGGCAGGAACGGAATATTGTACGATTTCGCCCAACGTTCCAATTTAACATTGAACGAGAGCGCCACGCAATAAACTGCGTACATGATTAACATGAAGAGGGATTCCATCCTGAAAGAACGTGAATTTTTATTTCATCTATGAGATTTAACGTCGGGCATTTCTAACCGCAATCTGATGTAATTGAATATATGGCGATACTTACCAAGATATAGACTCGTTGTAAATCGTACCGAGCATCACGAGGATCGAAATGGCGTAGAAAAAACAGTCTCGACAGAGAGGCCACCAATTCAACTTTGCGGCCGTCGCGGAGCATAGGCCGCAGATCGATATAACGAACATTATATTGAAGACAGCGCTGCCGATAACGCCACTGACCTGAAACGGAAGAATTTAATTGACAAATTCTGTATTGTGTTAACTAACGAGACGGGCTTACTGTCAAGTGTCAGCCAGATTCATGTGACGCGATAATGAAAATAGTTTCCCTTGTGATTAAAGCAAATAATTTGCTCGCGTACTGGCTTGCGTAATGTTATTTATGTGGTTTACGTTTAACGAACGCGGCGAAGCGTGCGAGACGCGATTAGGCGACCGTAATACTCACTCCGATGTCGTCCTTGGCGAAGAACACGCCGATGATGACTGTCGCCAGTTCGGGCGCAGAAGAGCCTGCCGCCAAAACGACATCGGGAGACAGTCTTAGTTCTGATAAGGATAAAAGATATAATGAATTTATAATACTTATAAATAATATAAATATAAAAATAAATTATTTAAAATAAAAAAAATTGCAAGGATCGTGCATCTTTAATTATTTCAAAGTCGGACATACCGTAAATCTAAAAGTAATCTCTACTTGCAATGAAAAAATACCAGTGAATCAAGACACTCTTAATAACAAATCTCCGCAGTGAAATACAATCCTCTTGCAAAGCTACGCGTAATACTGTAACTCAACGCGAGTTACGGAATTATTGATTTCAATGTGATCGCCGGGGGAGGGGGGGGGGGGGGGGGGATATCCAAGCTCGAAACGAAGTAATCGTCGCAGACGATTGCGAGGCCTAGGAACGTGTAGATAGCAGCCAGAATGTGTATTATGAGCCCGCCGTGTTTCCTGGCTTCGGGGCCCATCAACGGCCGAGGAAACTGCTCTATGGCGGGCGCCGAACAGTTGTTCCTTCGCGGTCTTACCGTGGGGTACGGGTATCTCGTAGTCAATTGGGTGGTTGGAGTAACCTGCTCCATTTAAAATCAAAACGAAAGAAGATAAAACGAATTAATCCTCCGAAACTAACTAAGTGAGCCTATTGAATCCATTCAATTATATTCTTTCGAAGTTAACAATGAGTCTATTGAATTTACTCAATTATATTTTTTTATATTAAATACATCCGCAAAAATTTGAACTATTGCTATTAAAGTAAACTTAGTAATTCTTTTTTTTTATACAAATTATGTTATTTTGATTATTTAAAGTGCCTTTTAGTTAACATAAATTAAATGGATTTCACAGACCCATCGCGTCAGTAACTGTATCAGATTTTGACGTTAGCTTCAGAGGATTAAATTCTTTCAGCATTCAAGTCATTATTATCGTTTATTATTAACCTTAGAGTACTGTACCGGAGTAACAATGAATTCCAAAGAAATTTCAAACTACACTGCTGAGATAGCAGACGACATTTTCGGTTCGGCACTCAATCATGATGGAAGGATAACATGGCGTGTGCAGTTGGACAGTGTCTCTTTCTAAATCTCATAATCCATTCTTATTTTAAAACCGTCTTAAATAATGTCTTAAGATGCTAATACAGTCTTTGGATTGACTTACGACATCTTAAGATTGTACTTAAGACAGACTTAAATGTAAGACTCGACTATGAAGTTGGTACAGAATCTTTCCTTGCACAATCGGAACCAACTTCCAACTTTAATAAGGAAGAGAATGGCGTTAAACAAATTGAATTTAACTAACGCCATTCTCTTCCTTATTAAAAGACGAAAAGATTGAGCTACCACTGAATCCTTCTACACATATACAAAGCATTCTATGCTATGCTAAAGAATTTATTTTTGTATCCCAGTGTGATTTTAGAAGGCAAAAAAAATCATAGTAGTACTCCAGAGTTAATGTAACTTAGGTCGTAATTTAATGTCGCTTAATCATGCGTTTATAATTCGAGCTGTATCTTCGAAGAAAATTATAAAACCTCGTAAAAGTACAAAACCCTCGTAATGCACGTTAATCCGCAATAGTATACGATGCATCACGCCTGACGGTGTTACGCAACTACCACACGTCGTGTATCGCATATCTCAATTTTGATCTATGCGACAACCTTTAATCTTGTTTCCTCGAAATCCGTCCATCCGCGCCGCGAGATACATACAGGGTATGCAAACTACCAACAAGCGAATTGTCACATCGGCAGAATCGAGTAGAGATCACGATAGATAGCTGTCGATTAGCATTGATTGCGAAATGTTAAGCTCATGGGCGGAATGTCAAGTTCTCCTTATAGAGCTTGAGACCGTAACACGACGTTAAGATGGCAAGAGTCAAATAGAATTTGTCAAAATTATATCTTGTAGATTTTTTTTATTTTATTGTATTTCTGTCAATAAAGTGCTGATAGAAATACAATAAAGTTTATTGTGCATCACAGGTTCTACATCAAATTTTATAAGACTTTCTGCAAACAAAAACTGTAATCAATAATAAGCGAAAATTAGATAAGAATAAATCGAATAAGAGAAAGAATTCTATTTTCAAAGCGGATCTTGGTGCTTAATAATATTCATATGTAAGTAGATTTACAATACATTTTTCAGTTCTATAAAGAAAAGGTGATATTTTTCGCAATAAATTATTTGCAGTATTTTAAGATGCTTATTCTAACATTAAATTGATGATCAATGCAATTTGTTGATGTTATATATATTTCCAGATTTATTTTATACATATAATTGCATTTCGACAAATCTGACAAACCAATTTGGAGCGCATGTAGAAAATGTATTTGTAAATCTACATATAAACATTATATTATTATTATGTAAGCATCAAGATCCATATCAACCAAAAATATGATCCTTTCTCTTATTTAAAAAACTGTCACGCGCTTCGTGAAATTGACATTTTCCATTTAGCGGTCTGGCTAGCCGAGTGTGTTTTGTACACTCGTGCCTTGACTTCGCATTTTTTACTTCTCTGTAATTATGCTGTCGGAGGTAGATTTTGTCTACTATCCGTTTCGTTTTCGCGTGGTTGGTCAGGTATTAATCAAAAGAAGAAGAAAAAGAAGAAAGAGCTGTTCGTATATCACGACAGAGGCTTAAATTGTGGCACTTACCGTGGTGGTGCTATTTTGACCATGTTTTGGTGGTAGTGTCTCGGTTTCCTTTTCCTTGATTTTGGTTTCCTTAGATAGATCTCTCACGCCCGTCTCGGTTTTCGCGCGTCCATGACCCTTTGACGTTTCGGTTTTGGATCCCTCCGTATGGCCTGTCTTCCTCGATTCCTCCCCGGCGACCGTCGAGTCTTCCTCTATCGGTTCTTCCTCCTCGGTGGAGATGATCGGAGATACCGGTGACTCCGATGTCCATTTCGCAGAACTCGATGACGGCATTACTGTCGTCTCGGTCGAAGAAGGAACTTTCGTGGAGGAGACATACTGCATGAGGACGTAAATCAGGAAGAGGCCCAATCGTAAAGGCCACCTCCTGCGACGCGCCTGCAGATTACGCGACCTGCATCTCATTGTCTGCAACTGGAACGATCAATTAACATTCGGTAATCGTAAATTAGCATCCCTCTCTCTAGCTCTCGCTCTCTCGCTTTATGTTATTAAATTTTCGACTTTTATAAACACTTTTCGTTTAGATTCCTCTCCTTACACAGACTCTATACATACACACCCTGCGCTGTCACATCTATATTCTGTTATTTTTATTTTATTTTATTTTTCAATATAAATATAATGAAACAAAGGAGAAGGAGATCAAAGGAGAACTCGATTATTATATAACTTAATTTTGCAATACTATGAACTGCTATCATCATATTCAGTTACACTGAAGAGGACCCAATACCAGAGTTCGTCTGTATTTAATTAAATTATAATATATATTTACACACGAATAACTTGTGTCGGCTCATATCGGCTTTTCTGTTGTGTCATCATATTTGTATTGTATATCTGAGAAGCCTCTATTTGTTTAAATTTTATATCGTTATTTTATTTTTATTTTAAATTTTCTTTTAGTTTATTTCTTTATTACTGTAAGGCTTTTAGATCGTGTATTTCTGTGTCGAATAGTATAACTATACAATAATGTGTCTTGACGCTTGAAGGGACTATTGTTCCCCGTGTTCATAGTCAGGCCTTATATTTAAGGCTTCTTTAAATTTATCTTCAGATACTTTACGAATTATTTCATTGGCTACCGAGCATCTAAAGAGAAATTTAAGGAAGCCTTAAGTACAAGATCTGACTATGAATACGGACATAAGTCTCAGGACGCAAAATAAGTAGCGATTCTCTCTTTTTCTCTCTCTTTCTCTTTCTCATCTAAAAATAAGCGCAACCCATACAGCAAAAATTTCCGAAATACATCAGACAGATATCCTAAAGATATCACATATCCCAAATATATCTTTAAGATATCTCTAAGTTGTATTTCTGATACATTTGCTGTGTGGAAACTTAAATCGGGATAATTCCAGCACGTCTCTTCGATATCGAGAAGATTCTACTTCTTTTTAATTTTTTTTTCTTACACAGTTAGAGGAGCCGAGATCCTCGAACCAATTATAGGGGAAAAGCGAGCTCTATACACAAACGCGGAAATAGAAGTAATTTCGTATCGGTCGTAAGTTTTATACCAAGTCACATCGAGTTAGCTCGCACCCGTTACGAGGACACGAACGACCTTCGGTGACGTGATATCCCGTCGTCTTTGAAATGGCAGATAGCAACCCCTCGTGCGAAAGCGCCCGTCTTTAAGACCGACTTTATCCCGGTGTTTCATATCTCGACCGTGGGTCTTTACATCGTCCCAGCCCGCTTTATCGACGTTTCTCTTAAGTGGCATGTTTGCTAGCTCCAATCTGGCTGTGTTTAGAAACAGTTCCACCTGTGCCACATTCGTTATGATTATCGATGTCGCGTGCCCCAGCTCAGGGAAATCACGTCATGGACGTCATATGACACGGCACCCACGTACTGTTCAGACATGTATATGGATGCCGTGTGTAGACACATATGGCCTCTAAGTAACAAAACTATCGTCCGTATGCACGTATTGTCATTAAATACAACGCGACTGGGTAAATCGATGATACTCGTCTCTCTCGTATGCGTAAACTATGTCCCTCTAAGAAAAGTAAACCCTATCTGCCAAACAGAGCGTTCCGTTTTGATTGCGCTTAAGCGAATTCCCAATAACGCGATACAACCTCTCTAATCTTTCGAATGATCGCCGGCATTTTTATTGAAATAAATATGACCTTTCAAATACGAAATTGTTCGTATTATAGTGGATATCAGAAATTTCATGCCGACATGTAATTTTACGATAATTTTTGTCAATCTGTTTTTCAATTTTTGTAATCAATTTAAATATATTATGTACGCGTATATTAAGAATGTATCAGCTGTATAGTCTCTGCAACAAAATTACTAGAATTAGAAATTTATACCGTATAAAAACGATTATTTATTATACTATACAGATATAGAATTATATCTTCTAACAAAACATTCATTTTTATACAGATATAGAATTATATCTGTATAAAAATGAATGTTTTATATCACTGATATCAGTGCCAAGTATGCCACTGGTAATCAGTGAATTAAATGTGAGATCCCTAACCTAGCTAATCTTTATTCTAGTGATCTAACTAACCTTGTTTTAGTGCTTAAATTCAATGAATATGGTATTGAAAGATTGAAATTAATACGCAAATATCAGTATTTTAGTTATTAATGCTCAAATATTCTTCCTTTTTTAGTTGAACTTCATTGATTATCAGTGCCAAGTATGCCACTGGGTAATTAGTGACTATCCACTGATTTAGATTTAGGGAATATATATGAAACAATTCAATAACATCATTTAAACTATAAAATTGTATTGGTAAATACTGTCAAGTATTTATACACGACAATATTTATATTTAACATAATTTTATAGTTTAAATAAAAATGTTCTCATTCTATCTTAATTATATTAAAAACATGTCTACTTTTTATTGAAATAATTTATAGCTCAGGTTCAAAATTATTGCGATACTTTTTGTATCATTTTCAAATACAATATAGGAAAAAATCATAAAATTAATAAAAGTATATGAATCAATGTAAGCCAAGATAATAATGTTATAACACATGTTGTAACATAAGATAATAATGTTATAATTGTATATTATATGTTATAATTATACATTATGTGTTATAATTACATATAATGACAATAATGAATAACAATGTTTTATTAAAAAAATTTACAGATAATTATTCAAACATGCAACATATTTCCGTACTTCGATTATATTTATTGCGTCATAATGCTCAATAATTATTTGTAAATCTTTTTGCTTTACACTAAAGAGAGCCCAAATTGGAGCGGAAATATTGTTATTCATTATTGTCATTAATATAATTTCATACAAACTATTATCTTGTGTCAGCTACATTGGCTCACATTTTTATTAATTTTATGATTTATTTCTTTAAAGCCTTATTATCTTATATATTGTGTTTAAATATAGAAAAATCTGTAATCTTTCCATAATTTTTTATCTTCTTAAAAAAATATGTATATTACATCCTTAAGTAGGTACTTGTAGATCTCTATTTGTAAAGATTCTTTATTTGAGCAATACAATAAAATTACTCAATGGTCGGAAACTTTCAGTAGCCACACGGAGAAAAATATTTGGTTGAATTAACTGGAATTGTGGTGGAAAATAAACGATCCATAATTCTATAGTTAAGTTTACCAGATTTCTAGTTAAATTTACTAGAATTCTGGTTATTTCAAATGGAATTCTGGTAGATTTGGAATTGGTTATTTCAACCAGAATTCTGGTAGACTTAATCCTAATAGCACAGATCTCCAAGGGATGTTCCAAAGAATATTCAGAGGATATCCCTATGTCCTAAGAACGTTCACCAGAACGTCCTTGGAATAAAGTGTGCTATTAGGGAACCAGAATTCTAGATCGTTCATCTTCCTAGAATTCCAGTTAATTCAACCAAATATTTTTTTCCGTGCACGGTATACCCTCTATTTGTCGTAATTTTATCGCGAATTCGAGATTTTCGATATTCGCGATATAATTGATAAATATGCTACGTAGTAAATTACGCGAGATATACTAGTAAACGAGAAACATTCGCGGTAAAATCATTACATTAACGTTTTCCGCGAGTATAATTAAAGCCACCCTGGAGTCCCACGGCTCCAAGAGCCCTCGAGAGGATTTCCATCGGTGTGTCGCGCACGGAGATAATTCGCCGCATTACGCAATCGCAACGAGCATGATTCATTAGTGATCAAAGACACATATATATACGCGGACATCCGGTATAGATGCGAATCGGGATGAAAGTCGGACACGTGTAATCCTATAAATGCGTACATGCAATAATTTTCACACAATGTAAAAGTGACAAGCGCACTCGAAGGTCGTTACGGGATATATCGGATTGTCTAATTGCCATCGGCAAAATTAATTTACACCCACATATACGAGGTGTCCTATTCGTGCTTATGAAAGGGCAAACTCTCTTCATGGATGAAGAGGTCAGGGAGTGAGGATGGTTCGCCATTGGCCTCGTGATTTTCAACACGATTTTTATTTCACCTTACGAGCCCTAAAATAAAATTCTGCCACGATAAAACTTGTTAACGGGCTTTTCGGGTCGCTTATTCGCCGTTCTAAAATCTCGTCGCTGGAAAGTCCTCGATCTTTCACGCTTGACTTTTCGATACACCCCGTATATATAGGGTGATGGAATAACAAACAATTTTCGCAATGCGACCCGCGCGCTCGAACGCGCTCTCTATATAAATATAACTTTCAGATTAATCTGGAAAGTGGCATTATATCAGCTTTTCTCTTCAATGTGAAAGAATAATCTGTTAAATTAATCCCTTTTCCCCGACGACCGCCACTGGTTACGCGATTAACATTTGCGTTGATTATCAATTTCATGAAATTTATGTCGACGCTAAAATTATTACACCGCACTCCGTAAATAATCGTAACCATAATAAAGTGTATCTCGTATTCCGACGCGACTCTGTCAATAACATTACATATCAATAGAAAATACGCGTCAATAGAAAATCCGACAAAATGGATACTACTATACTATTGATATTAATTATAACAGACAGGTACATGCAATTCTTATTCGAGCGATTCTTTTATATATCAAGAATAAATTCCAATAAAAAATTGTAATAAAAAAAATTGCGTTGAGATAAAAATGTTATGCGACAATTAATATATTTTAATCAAATGTAGTAACCCCCACGCACAGAGAAATATATAAAAATTCAATAATTCCTCTGTACCTCTATCTTTCTCTTTTTGCGTATAAAAATCTCTCTTTTATATATATGTAAATCTCTCTTTTATATATAAAAATAGCTGATCGAGATGAAAGAGTCCGGCGCTACCTATATATCACAATAAAGATACCGCACGTGTATGATTTGTGGAATCGATATACTTATCGAGACTCAAGAACGAAAATGCGTTAATTGGTGACGTATTCATGTATCCTTTTACAAATTGGACGTAATATACAGGGAGTCGATTATTTATCTTCAAGCTAGATGAAGATTACAAAAGAGCGAATTTACTAGAATATTTACAATTGTATTGGTCAAATAAATTTTACTCACTTTTGTAATTTTTTTCATCTCGTTTCTAGAACTGCGTTCAAAAACACTACTCGAATACCTCTGAGTATCATTTCATTCTTGTTTTAACATTCGATAAAAAACAAGAATAAAATGATACTCAAAGGTAATCGAGTAGTGTTTTCGAACGCAGCCCACGGGATCGATTATCTCGTTTGAACGAAATAAAAATTACAAAAGAGCAAATTCACTAGAAGTTGGGTAATGAAATTATAAATATTCTAGTGAAGTTGTTCATTTTTGTAGTTTTAATCTTATTTCAAGATATACAATCGACCCTCTGAAATCGAGTATTATAGAATACGTATTATAGAATTATTCGGAATGGTCGAATGGATTCCGCGATCGGAATTATTCAATTACTCCTTAAATTTTTATTGTGTGTTTTTAGGGAAAACAGAATAATTCCGATCCATTCTGACTTGTTCCATAAATATCCTGATCGAAGAATACGATGTTGGCCAAATACTAGAAGTCCTCGCTTTGCGGCCGCTTTTTCGCATGGAAGTTGCGTTATCAATCTTTACTAGATATTTGCACACTCTATTTGCGTAAGGTTTGCACGCTATACAGTCATTACGTTCAACTTACGGAAATTTTCATGATTGTCAAAAAGCAATATGAGAAACTCTAAATGTTTATTGTGACACGAGGCTGTCCTTTCAATTTTTTTTGTACGCTAAAAAAAGTATTATTGAATCAGCGATTTCTCGGAATCTTTCTCATAAATTTTACTCGGAGAATCGCTCCATAATCAAAATTTTCCTTCTGTTTTATAAGCGAATCAGAATATAACATTTCATTATAATCTTACTGTTCGCGCGAGTTTAATCTTATTGTTAAAACATTGCTAGTATACAATCCTCTAGTTTACGAAAAAAATCAAAATCATTTATACATCGTCCGCTCTGTTTTGCATTTTGCATCAAACAACTTAAGAGAAAATACACAAGGAATAGAACCTGTTCGACCCAGTTACATTTCTCACATTCTTCTTTCTTTAATGCACTTGCAATATAAATATTTACAAGTACTTGCGCCTGCAAAATGCAACCGCCCCGTTTTAGACGCGGAAAGTGTGAGAGGAGGATCGCGAAACCGAGCGAATCTAAAATCTAAGAGCAATATTCGCAAGTCGTATTTCTTATTGAAGAAACTCTCAAGACAAATTAAGTAAAGGAGACCATATTCGCTCAAAGTAGGTCTTAAGCAGTGCTTAATATTTTAGTGAATGTTACGATTTCCAGCTGAAAAACAGGAGAAACTCTCGCAGGCAAAACTCATTTGCGCGTATATGCGCCGGAAACCAAGTCGTTCGCCAAGAGACCGAGAGACCTTCCGCAGGTTTTCGATCTTTCCGGAGCAATCTGTCCTTCCTCGGCACATCGATGAGACGAGGGGGGACCAGGCGATAGGATATCGCTATCACTTGCTCCGATAATGGAACCGATAACGAACTGGTGACCCGATTTCCCGTGTTCCAACAGGAAGATTCCGCGCGCTTCGTGTTATCCGGCTTACCCCTTTATCGCCGTGCATCGTCGCCGTCTGCTGTTATGTGCCGCGAGCACCGTACTCCAGCCGGAAGACCCGAGGGTGTACCACCGGATATAGGTAGCGCGACACTGATATTAAAACTAGGGTAGCGACGATGCGTCCGCTGCCGCCGCGAGCTCCCTTATCACTTCGTCACGTAACTCGTATCCCACGGAAAGAGGAGGCGAAGGTGGAGGAAGAAGATGAGCGGGCGAGGGTGGGCCCGCGAGACTCGTCCGAAATCCTTGTTTGAGGGAGTCTCGTCCGCCACGCTGCCCACGATCGCGCTCGAATTATCGATTCGAACGTGAAAACCCGCCCGCCGGCGCCGTCTTCGTTTTCGTCGTCGGTCGTCGTCGTCGTCGTCGTCGTCGTCGTCAGCGTCACCACAGCGATGTTCCGTCGATCCCTCGTGTCCGCGTACGATCGCGCGTGTCCCACCGGGATCAACCGGGCATCCCGGTGCCGCGCACACGTATTTACGCCCCGCGGCTGCGACTCGGCCGTCCCCCTCACTGTCGCTGTCACGGCCTGGCCTCGCCGTCTCGGCGCACGGCCATCGTGCGTGTGTGTATCACCTACGTATCTCTCTCCCTCTCGCCTCTCCCGCTTGCTCCCGCTCCTTCTCCCTGACGTGCACCAAGCTCTCTCTCTCTCTCTCTTTCTCTCTCTCCCCCTCCCTCTTCTTCCTACCTTGCACCCCCTCCTCGTTCCTTTGACGCGCGAACGACACGCCGTGGCGCCGCATCCTCGTCCTCGCCCTTCCTCCTACCCCGCAACCCTTTAGTCCCTTTACTGTATTAGCGCTTGCCCGGGGTGGCTGCTCACCACCCTCGCGCGATTGAATGTCACCATTGATCCCATTTCTTTCATCGATATTTTTCAGGCACATCGATTAGTGACCGCCGTGTACGGCTCGACAAACGTTATTGCAATCTTGAATGAATTTTGCTAATTAATTTAATTTAATTCCAATTGCTAATCCATATTGAGACGATATCATATTATCTGAGCGCGATTCGTTGGCGCCTGAAAGAAGATTCGGGGAATCGCGCCCCCGATTCCGATCCGCACCTACGCGCACGCTTTCGTTCCCCCTTCGTTCAACCCCTCGTCCATCCCGATAATACACCGTCGACGGTGACGTCGAGACGCTTGCGCGTGATACGTCACCGGTTAATCCCTCCGCACCCTCCTGATCGTTCATTGCACTTACTCACGTGGGGGAGGAAGTGGGGGAGCAGAGATGGAACCGATGCTATTTTTTAGATATCGATAGAATAAAAAAATTGCTATAATTTCAACGTACTAAATTTTCCTAATTAATAACGAATTAAACGCACTAGTGCATAATATAGTTATACACTAATTTAATTTGTATAAGTAAAATGCAAATATTTCGAATTATAAAATAGATTTTATTTAACAACATAATAAAATATATTGAGGATTTCATGATTTAATCCATTCTTATATTTATATTAAATACACATTTTTATATCAATTTGTGTACGACGGCTTTAATATGCACTAGTGCGCACTGAGTGCGTTCTATCAAATTCGCTATTAGATTGATATATTTGATATATTTGATATTTTATTTATAATTGACATTTTTCGGCGATTATCATCCGCAAGAAAAGACAGCGATTGCATGTTTTTATTTTCATTATTAAATTATGTAATTCACACTTTTGAATTTTGAATTAATATCGACTAATAAATAATTTATAATCTTTGACCGCGAAGACGTTCATTGCCCCCGAGATTGCAAAGTCGTTCAACCTCTTCGTGAAAGAGCCGCGGCTAAAATTATCAGGGATGGCGATATAGCTCGGTATTATTGAACCATAGACTATATCCGGTCTAGCATTGGCGCCAAATATAGCGAGATATCCGACATTGCGACTTACGATATATGTTGCTTGTTGGTGCTTCGATTAACTCGAACAAAGAAATATTTTGAGTGAAACTCGCCTCGCGCGGCGAATTGTCAAAACGGTTTTATGTATAAAATCTAATCAGATTTTCACGATTTGGATAATTTTATCCTGTCGATATTCCAACAATATCTATATTTAATTATAAAGCTATGAAATTCATAGTAAGATTCATGTAAGATATATAAATATATTTTAAAATGATCAAAATAGCACTTTCTGTGTAAAATCTGATGAAATTTTCACGATTTTAATCATTTTTACTTTATCCTGTCAATACTTCATTAATGTCTATATTTAATTATAGAGTGAGGGATAAAATCCATAATAGGATTTGTGCAGAATATACAAATATATCTTAATTTCTTACAGGTAAAGGATAAATTTTATATAATTTTTTTTATGAATAAGAAACATATAACTAGCTTGTTACATGGGGTTCTGATGAAACTTTACGGAATAACCACCACTATTAGGATCCTTCTCCAATTCAAAGTTATTCGTAGAAAGGCCGAAAGGTTTCAAAACCATGTTTCCTAGATCCTTCAGTTTACCCAACATTTCTGTCTTCAGTTTCTCGTTTCTTTCGTCAATTAATGGAGGTAACCTCTGAAAAAACAAGAAATTATAATATTAATAAATTACAAAAATATAATTTTGCTTTTTAAATATATTCTTAACTTTTAAACTGTTAGATTTTGACGCACAATTCTAATATTCACAAGTAATCCACTATAATATTTACCATTGTTATTTAAAAAATTTAAGTAAAAATTGAGTTTTAGAGAAAAGAAATTTACTTATCTCATTTTTTAAGAGATAAAGGAATAAAATTAATTTATTGTAAAATAAAGACAAATAAATAAAAAATTATTATATATATCATATATAAAATACACAGTCACTCTTTTTTTTTGTAATTATTACTTGAATGTACCAACACTTTAAACACGTTTTTTCCTAAAAAATTGATCTTTATTACAAGCCGCGTTATAAAAAAAATTCATATTTTGAATAAATAATAATTATACATTACCCTGACAGCATGATTAGCTTCTGTGTGACTAGAATCAAATGTTAATACTTTCTTGTAGTCTTCTAATGCCTCATCCAATTTTTCCGTCTCTTCATACAACTGTGCTCTTCTTATATATGCCTTTACATAATTTGAGTTTAATTCAATGGCTTTGGTACAATCAGATATCGCCGAATCCTTCTCTGTCTGAAAACAATAACTTTTTAATAACAGTTACAAAGTACATAAACACACAGTATTAATCAATGAATGCATCTTTGACAATCACCTGACATTTCGCTTTTGCTGCTGCTCTATTTGCATACAATATAGATCTTTCTTTGCTATATGCTAAAGGACAAGTTTGTAATCCTTGTGTATACTGCGATATCGCCTGTACATATTCACCATTTTTGAAAAGCTCGTTGCCTGCCTGTTTTAGAGTCTCTGCTTCATTTTTCAATGTCTGCAAAAGTAGATGAATTGCAACATACAAAAAATAGTACTAAAAGGGCTCTTTCTAGAAACACAGATGTAACACAGTGGATCACATTACGTCCTTATAACTTGTCAATGTTAACCCTACAACAGCACCTTAGAACAACACATATGAATCATTTGTGTCAGACATGATTTTGAAGCTCTTAAAGTGCTCGAAAAATTCTGTAAAAATTCAAATATGTTTTTTAAGGTCTCACTACATCATTCTGCTATGTAAACATTGGAAAAAAGTTTGGAAGTTGTAAATATCATGCAAGTATATAAAAAATAAAAACTGTTTAAAGTGGCATGAATATAAATGACCCATGTATGCCGTTGGAGAGTTGAACAAAAATCAGTTAAACAAAGGTGCTTTCCATTTGGTGACAAATATCTATCTTTGTTACTCATTAGAATGCCAAGATGAAATGATATTTGTGTCGACTTGTGTCGCTAAATGAAAAGTATCTAATGAAGATGATCACTGTATTACACTGTCTCTTGCTAAAAAGCAAAGAATTGCAAGAGAGATGTCTTTAAAAATATCATGGACATACTTCTTGCTCACTTTCTGTGAGTAACAGATCTCTATCCTTAAGGAGCTCTTCGTCTACATCCTCCTCTCTATTTTGTGCATTATCATTATTATCCTCATTGCATTCCTTATCTACGACGTCCCATGGATCGCCCTTCGCTCGCGCGTTCGCATCGGAAGAATCGTCCACTCGGATGCAGGAACTTTCTAGATCTCTGGTGAGTTCTTCTATGACCTCTTCGTTGGATTGTAGTCTCTGCGATTTGTCATCCGAACTCGCCATCCTATGGTGTCCACCGTTAAATGAAATAAATCTTACGGAAATGAGAATGAATATGTCAATACGTGTAGGGTATCAATGAATATGTACACGCAAATCAGCTGTGCGACGAAAATAACCTGAAATTGGTCTTTAAATAAAAAAGAAGATGCATACACACATTACACACGCGCGGCACTCTGACGTTTGCTTTGCCCGAAGTGTCTCTTGTGACGAATGATAGATCGCGCTTGTCGTTTGATTTCCAGCCAACTTCGCTCAGCTGCTTTCCGTTTTTCATAGTTGCACTAAGCTGCACTTTCTGCACTTGAAACGGCAGATCTATCTGGACCCTGGACCTATCGCTGCGCTCGACTACATTTAACCTTTATATTTCGCTTTTATCAAATAATGAATATGTATATCTATTTCATTTTAAGTATACGATACGATAAGTGTATAAATAATCACAAAAGCCTGAAATAAGATCAAGATTGAATAATAATTAGTTTATTATAATTAGTACAATTACTATTAAACAATTAATAGGTAATTATTTAAGTAAAAAATAAATCAACAAATTAATAACTTTTAACTTAATTTAATTAATTTCAAACGAGTTAATTATTAATTGTAACTATTCCAGCAAACGAGAATGGATTGAAATGGATTAAAATGGATTCAGATTTTCAGAAATATGGATTCATGAATGTTAAAATGAATCCTTTTCAATCCTGAATGCATTTTTATTCATTTATAGGAATTGCATAAAACAAATGTCTATTTCTTTTCAATCTTGAATGCATTTTTATTCATTTATAGGAATGACATGGAATATATTTCTATATATACTTTTCAATCTAAAAATAATATTTTATAATATTTTGTGTGCATCGTGAATACTGTTTAATTTAAAATTCTGAATAGAAAATGCAATTTTTTTCAATCCAGTTGAATCTAGTCCGCTGGTGGTGTCGGAATTATAAACGAACAATCACGAGGAGTCAGAAGGTGTTGGAAAGAATAGAAACTGAGAGCGATATAAATGAGATATGCTTCTGAGCTTTATTCGAGAACAACTGAACTTGGTCGTTAAGCGATAGATATACACAGGTACCGAGAGACAATCGTCGCTTCGCGAGAAAAGAAAGAAAGATTGAGAATGTATACATATATGTGATGCGAAATAAACAGCTGATAGGTAGATACTGTCTCGAATTCTAACCGCGTCGGTACCGAGAATAAACGTGTTTTGAACATAATAGCTGCTGACCGAAATAAGCGTTGAAATTAACTCGACAATGAGCACAAGAATTTGACAATATTATTTATATGCTTCTGAAAATGCTATGATGATTTAAAAGAATTAGCGCACTGAGTTTTTATTGAATTTAGTCCAAACAACTACGTAAATATGTACAAACATTACATGTGTAAATTCCTTATTTTTAATTAATAAATATTAATTGCTTTATGTTTATTTTATATTAATACGTTTCCTTTATTATACAGCCAACGTATATTTTTTGTATAAAAGTTTTAAAATAATAACTATAGAATTTCATTTAATTACTATACTCTTTAATTTATTTAAACTTTTACATGTATAAAAATATTTTATACGAAATCTATTCATTTTTATGGATTTAAAATACGGATTCGAATGGATTAAAAATTTCAAATCCATTTCAATCCATTTTCGTTTGCTGGGATATTTCGTAAAACATTATTTTAACTTGCAAAGTTGGTTTTTATAAATTAAAATCTTTTTTGTCTTTAAATGTCAATATTATTTCTTTTTTCTAAAATTTTAAACATTAAACAAATTTTAAAAAATCCATAATGGATTATGATGGACATATAATTGCTAATACAAAGTTCATAATCATGATAACGTGTAATTGCTAATACATTTGTTTTTTATTTAAATTACTAGCTGCTTTTTATTCATTAATTCCATTTTTTTTCTTTTTTTTTCTATAACGTCTATTAATTATTAATTATTAATGTGTATTTTCTTTTAAATGCAAAATTATGAATGCAGCTTTCAAAAAACAGGTACTTTTCATAACATTGAAGGAGTTTAGATTATAGATCTGACGGTATCGACTATATAATTTGGTAGTTCTGTAGAATTTAGAAATAAGAGTTTTCTCTGACAATGAGTTATCTCACTTATCTTCATTTTAATTCCAGATTATTTCTTATCTCTTGTTCTACATCTTAACTATATCATTATATAGTATATATTATACGTTTTAAAGAATATATATAATTATTATAGATAATAATAAGGTCCTAAATTGATTGACCTATATTTACTACGTTAATAGTCAACAGATCTAAAATTTTATTTTATGGGTCTTCTACAATAAGCCATTAGTCATAAATCAGAAGTCAGAAACTAAAAATTGACCAATCACAGTCGTCAGTTTTTAACTTTTGACTTCTGATTTATGATTATAAATGGTTTATTGTAGAAGGCCCATTACAGTTGCATATTTTTTCCTCTTTGACTTTATAACTTGTTCCTGAGTAATACTAATCAGAATTTTAAACGCGAGAATAGATATCACTATCAAGAATGAACATTCATCATGCACGCGTTCGACGATTGCGTGTAATTGTTTTTCCGATTGGCGGGATAAAAAATCTCAAGTGTAGGCAGGAATTATCGCTCTCAATTTGAAACGAGCTTCGTAAGTTAGTGCTGTATGCATGTCATAATCGTATAAATGAAACTGATTAGTACGAGTAATATGATGTGATATCGGTCGAAGTATTTATTTCTGAGCAAGGCTACAGCATAAATATATGCTGATAAACCACTTAATAAAATTGCGCGGGAAAAAGATAAAAGAATAGAAGATGCACTTTTGATAAACATCCACAGGGCGAATTCGTCACAGCGATACAACGTACGAGTTATTCCCGCAAGTAAATATTTCAGCGCGATGAAGAATGATTGATCGATCGCCGGCGCGACGTTGAAGGCGCGATTGCAATTGGTGTGAATTAGGAGCATAAAAGAGAGAGGGAAAGAGATCGATGATGGAGGGAAGAGAACAGAGTAGAATGGAATTTGGTTTGTTTATTTACAGGTCTGTCCTCTAAGGAAAAAAAAGTATTTTTTTTTAGTGTTGTTTCACACATGCATGCTGTAGTGAAAAATGACAATACAAAAAGTACAGAGAAAATAAAAGAATGATGATACAAAAATTAATAAAATAAGCTGATAAAAGATAAGACAGAGAAAGAGAGAGAGAGAGAGAGAGAGAGAGAGAGAGGGGAGGATAGAGTGAAAGGGAGGGGATATATGACGTATTGTACGGGCCACGTCGCGTCGCGTCGCTCTGTTTCTGTGGCGCGAATGAGAGGCGCGAAGTCACGATTTGTCACGAAGGCGACTGCGTCCTATATGTGTGCACTGTGCAGTCAGTGCTGGTCGGTGCAGTGCCCGATGTGGTGCGACGCGTGCTGTACGTTTTTCGATGCGGCGAGCAAGATCGAGACCGAGTGAACGCAACGCGGTGGAGTTTCCGTTTACGCAGTAGCCCGCTCGTGGAGTCAGGCGGCATAAAGTGCCTTTTCTGTTATTAGAGTCTTCGCTAAAATGGTGAGTCTAAAATCCTGGTGTCCGCGATGCTAAAAGGCTAGAAATCGTTCCGAGATCTCCGAGACGGGGTGTGAATTGAACAATCTCTCATAGGTCAAATGACCCAATTGCTCAAAATGTTTAAATGTGATTTGTTAATTTTTCTCCGTCCAAGATCTCGGAGCCTAGCATCGTGGACATAAGGCTTAATAGTTATATTTTCCTTCTTTTTTTTCTCCCTTTCTCCTCTTATTTGTTGAAGAAAATTCATGGAACACGCCGTGCGTCTGTTATGCAAATAGGTGTATATACAAACAAAGTGTGATTATCATATTTCAGTTTCAGAGAGACGGAGTGAGACTCAGACAGCACACGTCGAAGAGAACATCGACTGAGTTACCTTACGAGAATAGAATTGCTTCGAGGAAACAAGATATACTGCCAAATGATACCCAGCACCTCCTCTTCGTTCTTACGTACTTTCTCTTCATGTCCTTCATTATAATCGTCTTAGAGAGGAATTTGCCCGATCCAATTACCATTGACACGGAAGGATTACATCCTGGAAAATTCGTTGCCGAGCGAGCTCGTTATCATATCGTGAACCTTACGTCGATTGGACCTCGTATCGCCGGCAGTTATGAGAACGAAATCCTAGCTGTAAAATATCTAACGACAACGATCAATAATGTGATGAGAACGGCGCACGAGAATCACAGGATCCTCCTTAACATTACAAAGCACAGCAGCGCGTTTCCACTTAAGTTTCTCGATGGCATGACTAATGTCTACAGAAATGTACAAAACGTTATTGTCAAAGTCGGACCTCACAGGCCTACAATGCATAGCTTGCTGCTTAATTGTCATTTTGATACGTTTTTAGAAAGCCCAGGTAACGAGCGTCTCCATGCACAATAGGCGACGTGTCCTCTCATCTGCACGAGTAATTGTTATTTATGTAAAAAAATAGGTGGTTCTGACGACGCCGCTGGTTGTGCTGTAATGCTAGAAACTTTACGGATAATAACTCAAAGCCCGAGAATATTGAAGCACAGCATTATATTTTTATTCAATGGGGCAGAGGAAAATTTATTGCAGGTATATAATTTAATATCTAATCTTGATGAGTTCTGATTATTGATTAGTTCTAAAGCCGTGATAACACGATCTTGCACACGATGTATTTGTAGGCATCTCATGGCTTCATAACGCAGCACCCTTGGGCAAAGGATGTACGAACATTCATAAATTTGGAGGCATGTGGCGCTGGTGGTCGTGAATTATTGTTTCAAGCTGGACCTCACAATCCTTGGATTCTTGAGGTACATTATCTCATTATTATTTTCTCTGCTATTTGTTAGCATTAAACTTAATTTTTTTATTATGGCACATTTGTCAGGTTTACGCCAAATCCGTACCATATCCTTATGCATCATCGTTAGCTCAGGAAATATTTGAGAGTGGTATAGTACCTGGTGATACAGACTTTCGGATATTTAGAGACTTTGGAAAAGTTTCAGGTAAAAAAGATTCGATTATAACACGACTGATAATTTATTGCTAGAAAAAATCTTTACTAGTATATTTAAAATTTTTATACAGGACTGGACTTTGCATGGTCAAAAAATGGCTATGTATACCATTCTAGATTTGATAATGTTGATCAAATACCGCTGGGAGCCTTACAACGAACCGGCGATAATATTCTTGCATTGACGCAAGGAATAATATTCGGAGATTATTTATCGGACATGGATGTGCAAGAGACACGGGGTAATCTCGTGTTCTTCGACTTCTTGGGCGCATTCGTTATTAGATGGCCACAGTACATTGCCAGTACAGTTAATATCGCCAGTATGATTATAGCTGGGTACTCTATCCATTTGAATATGCAGAGTGCACGTAGAAGTAAGAATATATAATTATTATTTAGATCCGGCTGCGCCAGTAGACCTCAAATCGGTTCTCGTTTTCTCGAACAAATCTGAGTAATACAATCGAATTCTGCGTTATCGGATACAGATATTAAAAAATGGATATACATGAGATATGTGCTGATGTGCGTTGGAGTGATCATGGCTTCGTGGTTGGCATCTATGTTTTCTTGTACATTAATCGGCCTGATCCTGACCAAGCTGGGAAAAGTGATGAGCTGGTACGCAAGACCGGCGTGGCTGTTTTTCTTGTATGTTTGTCCAACTGTTTTTATATCGATGATCATATTCCTGCAGATCGGATGGAGGCAGAAAAAAGTAAGTAATAATAGAAATAAGTTATGCTGCAATATATATTATATATATATATATATATATCTCGATTTTTAATTACGTGTCTGTTGAATGTCAAATATTATCGATAAAATTAGATTCAAGCAAAGTTTGCTTGAAGATTTATTGCAGCACATACAACTAATCCATGATTGTAGGAAGTTGGTTCTGCATGGATTTTGTATCATATGTACTATGACGCGTATTCCCTTATATGGATGTTGATTCTCTTCATATGCGTTTTATTTGGAATACGATCGGGCTTCATACCGCTTCACTGGGTTTTATTCCCATCACTTGGAAATATTGCGCGACACAATTTCTTCAGCAAATGGAGAGGTGAGGACACTCGAAACTCATTTGTATAAATCTTTTTTTTACATACTAACATTTTTTACATGTTAATCTTCTGTGTCAATTATTTTAAAAGTATTCTAATATTTGATTGAATGTACTTTTATGAATTTTGTAGACTGGAAATGGCTTTGTTACCAATTGGGATCGTTAAGTTTATCTTATATACAGTCATTTTATTTAGCGCTCGGTGCTCTCTATCTCTTCATCCCAATAATGGGACGGTCCGGTGGCAGTATTAATTCTGAAGTTGTAATAGCTAACATGCTGTCAATATTATTCTGCCAACTATTATGCTTCACGGTAAAATATTAATAGCTTTAATTTTATTCGCACAGTAATTTTGTATCTTTAATTTGTATAATCATCTCTTAATCTGTGTAAAATATAATAACTCACAATATTTTTCAGTTGCCAATAGTGCTTCTAATAAAGAATGCAGAACGAATTATAAGTGTGATTGTTGGAATTTTCTTAATTGCTATTGCTGTGTTAATTCTAACACCACTTGGATTCCCTTACAGTGGTGATCCGTTGTCGCCTGCTCCACAACGATTTATGATTGCGGTACAATTATCTTAACATTCCTGAAAATTCTTGTTTGATAGAAATAGTATAAGTTCATTGTATATATATATATATTATTCATTGTATCTTCGATTTACAGCATAGTCAACGTCAGTATTACAATGTAGATGGTAGTGATAGGTATTTTGGTACGGGATACTGGTTAGTGGATTTAGATATGAATAGTCCTCACAGTATAGAATCGATAGTACCTGAAATAGCTGCTGCGACGCCAACAGTCAAGGATTGCGAGAAGGAATTATATTGCGGTTTTCCATATTTAATGCCGGTCACAACTTTCTTGTGGTATATATCGGAATTAGTAGTACATTATTCGAATATAAAACTTGACACGAATTGAGAGGGCTATTTTATAGGAAAACTACCTGGATTCCGGGACCCGCTCCGCTCATAAGTATTCCTACAAATCTCGAGGTAATTTCGAAGACTACGAAACAGCATGTTGTTAATTTTACCTTTAACGTTACAGGTAAGATATTCAAAAATTTAAGTAATTTAAATTTCACATGTATGTCTTTTGATAAAATTAAAAAAAATTAAATATCTTCTGAATTGCTTAGGTCCTGACCACATAGGTATAATTTTGTCTCCATACAAAGGTGTTCATCTAGAAAAATGGTCTATACTTGACGGGAAACCATTGCAAGGTCCAAAGTGGAACAACAGAGAGACTTATTTTATTTATTACGCATGTGCCTCAGACTGCGTGCCATTTAAATTTTCTATTGAACTGAATGTAAGTTTGCAAGACAAATATGTGTTTTCCTTTGTTATATCGCGTTATGCCCATATCAGATTAGAGATGGAAATTGAGATTGATAATGAGATTCAATTTGATCAATCATCGGGCAAAGTTTATTAAAGCTTGATATAATTTTGTTTTTAATTGATTAATTTCAATCTCAATCTCAATTTCAATCTTTAATCAGATATGCGCTTTACTCTCGCAAAAAATTACAAAATTTTGTATTCAGGTATCTACAGAACAGAAAGGACCGTGCTTATCCATCGCATTAGCCGGACACTTCTTATATGGCGAACACCAAAAATCTTTGAGATTTAAAAAATTTCTGGCACAGTTTCCGTCGTGGACTGTCATCGCTCCCTGGACGGCATCGTATAAATCATGGGAATTGTAAGATGTAAAACAACTGAGAGGACAATTGATGCGGTAAACGTGACTAAAACAAAGCAATATTGTCCTATAGCGAATCGTCTCTCGCGAATTAACGAAGTAGCCCATTAAAATGGTACTATGCTTTTGGCGTACGATGAGATATGAAACCTAATGCCATGTAATATCATTTAATGCCATAACGATGTAATATCGTTTAAAAATACTTAGATTTAGCCTTTAAATACTTCCTAAGATATTACGACTTGAATATCGACAAACGTTAAATGCGATAGAGAATGGAACGGATAAAAACGTTACCATTCTGAGTTTATATATGAATTTTTTACTTGCATATATTATCATTAATAGAGACGATTTCGAACTAGTCTAAGACGTTGATTCGGATCTAAATCCTAATAAAAAGATCATATGTATAGTATATATATATATATATAGAGAGAGAGAGAGAGAGAGAGAGAGAGAAATAATATATTAAAATATATTACCTGGACGCTTTCTCAAAGGTGATAACTACGATTATTTTTCGTAGATGCATACGATAATATTGCATATCATAAGCTTTAGACTGATTCCATGCGTTATCTTTCGATTTGATAATTTTCACAAAGAAAACAAATCGCCCGATAAAGGAGAAATTTTATTAAAATTTAAAAACTCGAATTTTATTATGATATATAGAAACTCTGTGATTTCATGACGTACGCTCTCTTAGTACGCTTCAAATTTACTGATCAAAATATCAGTACTAGTTCAAATTATCATCTCACGCGAGATAACTAGATGAATAATCGCATAATTAGCGCGCACACATTAGTGTGTATTATTGAACACATTTTATAAAAATGACGCAAGTGCTGTCTAAGACGTTTGTAGACTATAATACGTGCTTTAATATTTTAGAGCTTGCATGAATGCAAAAAATTCACTATTTGGTCGCCTATCTACTGTTTGGTATAAAATACAGATTTAATGCTGTTATCCACGCCAAAATCTTTTCATAGCCAATGTTTCGATATACACTATCAGTACTGAAAATCTATAGTGCACGTTACATATTCTATAGTTATGTGTACTATAGTTAGTTTTTCAGTACTGGCAGTGTATATCGGAACATGGCCATAATAATAGACAGTCTAAGTGACAGCACGTACATAGTATATAATAGTACTTTATATTTACGTCGTGATAGTTTAAATATCACGATGAATAAAAGTTGCTCGAGATACAAGATAATCAAATATGCGTTTCAAAGAAATTTTATATTTCGGGTAATACAATAGAATACATTTTAAATATACGCAGATACATACGCACACATGTATGCAGAATATGCCTAATATGTTGCATTCTATTTTTTAGTTTGAATATTTTATTTACACCTTACATGCCAATGAATTTGAAAAGTCTTGATCATATTAACATTTTGTAGGGGAGCTCACTATTTGTATTCTTGCACAATCTATGAATCATTCCTGTTTTTTTTAGTTCGAAGTAAAAAAATAATCTATATTTAATAGCATATCAAACAAGTTGAGACTTGACATAAATATTCCTGATATGAATTAATAATTTTTAGTAGCTCTTAGGATCTTTTTTTTTTTACTATCTTTTTACTGTAGTAAAGGTATCAAACTTGTCTTTAATTAACTTTTCCATTTCTCTGTACATGTTTTTCCTCGATGAAAATGTTTCGCAATAAGGCACTAACAATATTTTGAATGAAAACCTTTGTCATACATTAAGAATAATTGTTATCCTAATTCTTCTAATGTGATTTTGAAAGATAGTTCTTCTCCACATCTCTTTCAAAATATTCTCAATTAATATCAACTTTTCTCAACGTACAACTGAGCACCTTTGTCATTTAGTGGACACAAAAGTTTTATCTCGAACTAAATACATAACAGATCACATAGTATCTATTTAACAATTTAAAATAATAGGAAATACCGTTTACGCGCGTAATGAAATTTTTTTCTACGAGTATAGACATATCGCTGAGTTTAATAAACGCCTACTTCACGTAACTCACCGAATTGTTCACTTTACTAATGCTTGACAAAATAGTATATGAGTATAGCTAAATTCCGTGACTTCACTAAAATCTTTCTTGGGTAGGAAGTTGTATAAAAATGTTAGTATTAAATAACACAAACAAATATAAAAAAAATTAATCATAAAAAAAAATAATAGTTTTCTATGTATAATATATAGTGGAAAGAGGCAGTAGCAAAATATACAATTTTATCGAAGGATTAAACATTTTTAATATAAAGCGTATTGAAAAACGTTTATGTAATATATATTTTTGTATGCGATTCAAGTTGTTTCTTTTGTTACGTTTTTATGTTTATAATATCTAATGAATTATATATATCTGTACTAGACTGTGACTGTTTTATCTAATTGTTCATTAATTTGTTCATTAATTAACTTGCAGCACAAAGCAAACGTTAACCAATAATAACGTTAATCTCAATTGCACAATTTACGATCGCAATTCTATTAATAAGTAATACTTAATTCTTATACACAAAGTTATAGTTAAGCGATATTTGACAATTTTTAGCATCTCTCATGTCATTTATTATGGCCTGAGAATAACCGGATCACTAAGTCGTTTTGTGTTTTTTTTTAATTTCCACGTTATTACATCTTATCTTTACGAAGATAGTTTTATGTGTTCCGTAAAATAATTTCTTAGGCAATCACCTGGATATTATTAAAGCGTATTATTATAACGCGAGAAATGTAGACTTGTTAACAGGATCTTTATTTTGTTGTTAGGAGTAAAACGAAGTTCTTTACCTTAATCTTTGCTATTACGATGAAAACGAGAATTCTAGATTAACAAGTGCAATCATTTTCTAAATGTGGAAAGACGTATCTTTTTACGTCATCATCCTAAATCATACGGAGTATCTGTACTTTGATAACTTCGTTTTACGCCAAGTACCGGCCAAAGGAAAAGGATCCATCCATTGCGTGACAAGTGTACAATTGTAGTTGCCTAATAATTCGTTTCCGTTATTCTACGTGCAGGGCGACACTTTAGTGATAAAATATCACGAATGACTCGCGGAATTCTATTCGCGGAATTTAACGTTCGATAAGCGGAGCATATTGATACAGTAATATATATTATTTTTTGTTCCCCTGCTGATTTATTTATATATACACAGGCGTATGTTCCTGCTTGCATTATATTCAATTATCGGTATATATTGCGAAATTGTTACTTGGCAGTTGTTGTTACATGATTAAGAAATTATATGAGAGAAGAAATAAAAAATTAAGATACACATTATGCTAGCTATTTCCTTCATTTTCCTTGATTCTATTTTATCAGATTTTCCGTAGCACAGTAGCGATAAAAAAGTTGGGTAAATCCGGTTAATACGTCGCTAAGTATTAATAAATTGACGTATTTATACGAGTTGAAACTTGTTCATACTTACTGATGCATTAATAACACAGGCCTGCATGGTTTTGTTGATTGGGATTTAACTATGTTTTCTTACGTCATTTTTCGCGCTGAATCCGAATCCGGCGGCAGAATTGCTCTATCACGTCAGGTTTTTGAGAAAAGTGAGGTTAAAGGTGTCAAAATTGACGTTTTTTGACATATTTGTGATTTTTTTGCTAGCGAAGTAAATTTTTTTTTCTACTTTCGTTTACGCCATCTGAGAGTGTCAACATATTTATCTTCAAAATATATTTTTTTTAACGCCGTACGTTTTTTTTTCACCGAGATAATCTCTGTGTAGTCACACAAA